TTTATTTAATTTTGTTTGAGAATCAGAAAAAAAAAGTTCTTTTTGTATTTAGAGTATGACACATTTTAAAGATGAAGTAAATGTTATACAATTCCATGTCCTAGAAACTATAATATGATTTATTTATGGTTTATCTTTGCCTTATTGATATGTTTACTGAGATCTACATTTTAAAATTTTTAAAGGTTTTGTTAGAAAATATCTTTAATCTGAAAGTCTTCAAACTGTTTGGGGCTTATGAGGATGACTATTTCTATTTACTATTTCAAAAACATGCTGCTTGGAAAATAATGGAGCATAAACATTATCCAACTATCATCCTAACAAAATACATTGGCAAGTAAGATACCCTCATTTTTCTTAGTACCAACATGCATACAAAAATTCTATAACCTTTCTAAAAACAGTTACTGAATAGGCATTTTTTTAAAATTTTAGACATTGTATTAATGTTGGTACAATTTCTTCAACTATACAATATCTGAAAATAAATACACATTGGAAGTGACATATTACTGAGAGGCAGTGTTGTTTAATGGGTAAAAGTACCAGGTACTTGAACAACACTGCCTTGGCTCCAATTCCAACTCTACCATTTAACAGCTGTGTCACCTTGAGATAGCTACCAAACCTAGTTCCTTTGTTTCCTCATCTTTAAAATGGAGATAATAATAGCACTTACCTCATAGGATTGCTGTGAGTTAATTTATGTCAACTGTTTAGAACAGCGGCAACACATAGGAGGCACACAATAGATATTAGCAATTATTATAAGCTGTTATTATACTTGGAGCCAAACCGCACACATTTGCCTTTCAAGTACTACCTTTGTGCAGGTGCTACATCCGCCAGGGGTCTTTAAGTTCAGGTAAACATTGAGACTTACAGGAATATCATAGGCTACCTTGTCACCAGTTTACCTAGAAGGCTATAGCACAGGAAATATATTTCTCCAGGCAACACCAGGCTTTTCTCTCCACAGGAATCCCAGCAACTGTAGCTGCCATGGCAGTTCACACAGGGGTTGGGGAGCTATCTATGCTTTCCCCAGGTGACAGCCCAGGTGCAAGGGTATGGGATCTACATCAGTGGGAGTTAACAACCTCATGCAAAACACATTTCTGACAAAGGTCTTGTACCCAGAATGTGGAGAGTTATAGTAGTATAGTACAAGACATTCTGGTGTTCTGATATAACGTAGATGAGGAACTTACAAAATTAAAAGAAGGAATAATTAGCATGTCTTTCTTGGATATTCCTCTTAACTATCAATAATTACAGTAAGATTTGAACAACGATTTGCCAGCAAACATTCCACTCTGATGTAGTTGTTGAGGACTTTTATCACAGGTATTTAACTTCGGGTTTTGTAAAAAGATCCAGCCATTTTATGTATACATGAACAAAATTTTGACATTTTATGAGGAAAAACAGCATACCTTTTATTGTTGTTCTAATCCTTTTCCACAGCAAAGGCTTGCAGACACATGTCTAACTAGGACCAAGCCTTTTGTCTGAAAACATTCTTAGAACTGGACAGATTTGTACTGTAGCTTAACTGAAATCACAGATTACATACCACAAAGCACAAAAGAGACATTACCATAAAATGAACTAAGATCTGTCAAATGATAATATTGAGAAGGACTCTATTTAGATGGTCTTAATTTGGATTATTTGCAAAATACATCTTGCAGTTAGAGCTAACACTGGGCATCATCTCTAGATTCATGTAGGTCCTCAAAAAAAAAGAGGCAGAACTTATGAACTATGTCCGATTTACTTTTGAACATAGACAGTATTGAAGATCTTATTGTGACATTAATAGACCCATAAGTTCAGTTATTTTGAAACCACATCAGTATTGTAAGAATAAGCACGAGTCACTACCATAAGAAGAACGGCTATATTCCTATTTACTAGGGTAGGAGAACAGACTTTCAGTTTATATAGATCACAGGCCTTTAATTTGGATCAAGATCTTTTTTTTTTTAACCTCATCCACTTTTATGGAAAGAAGGCAACAGGAAGCTGCTTATATGTACTTGCATACAAATATTTACATATAACCTTAGGAGGTTTCAGGGCCTTAGAAGCCATTTCATTTCTCAGTTGATACCCTGATCAAGAACTCTTCATCCAAATCAGAGAGGATTGTTACCAGATGTTAGGAAAAATAGCTCGTTTTATGGCAAACATTTCAAGTTACATTTACGTAGAAGCCTTTTCAGTTGATGAAAGTGATTTGTAATGGTAAGAGAATTTTTGGACCTGAGTTTTATAGTCTGATTGGTTTACTCTACCAGGCCTTTAGAGTAAAATAACATTCTCGCTTGCACAGGTACACTTGTGAAATTCAGAAAACTTTGTTCAAGAAATTGAACACAGAGATCCCAAAGTGGTACATTAGCCTACTCAAATATGCTTTGTTTCCACAAAGGGAATTCTTTTGAATTCTTCCCTTGGAGGATTTTTCATTAAACTAAGCCTGGTAAGAGGACTTACAATACTTTTTGGAGACATGAAATTGTGCAGTTATTCTCTATGAGTAGGCCTGAGGCACTGCTTAGGCCTCAAACAAAATTCCCTACCATTTGCTTGGCTTGTCTGTGCCCCTTGCTTGTGTGGCCTGTGATTTGGCTAATAGCAAAAAGTCAGGCCTCTTAGGGCATATAGCTCTTGGACCTCAAAGATCCTCATAGAATGTCTTACAAGCTTTCCTCATGAAATAACAGTATTCTTGCAGCAATTGTCCTAATCTGTCTGCAAAACTAGTTTTCATGCTCTCCTAGAGGGATAATTTGTCCTGTGGTTTTCTTCAGTCTACTAGAGAAGTCCTACTACAGTCATTTAGGATTTTTAAATAAAAAGATTTGTCAGAGGCCAGAATAAGAAACCACAATGGCACAGACAGGGCTTTGCTGATTCAGTGAGGAAAGAAGACAAGTCAATTTCCACATTTTAAGTCATGAATTTAACTTAAACCTCCTTTCAAGACTATAGGTTTATGTATAAAACCCACTTGTATGGGTGGGTTCGTTTGCTTCAAAAGCAAATAAAATAAATACAATCTATACATGACAAGATTACAGAGTCAAAAGGAGAAGAGAATGTAAGTTTTAGGGCGGGAAGGTCAGAGGCCCTGGTGAAATCTTGAATGACAGCAGGTCTCTAGGACCTTCTCCTGAAGACTTAATGGCAGCACAGAGCCCTCAGAATACACCAAATAGTTTCATGTTTGAAAGAGATTACCAAGGATCCTCAATACTATTCAGGTTAATTCATCACTTAGAAAAACTTTCTTCTCACTACAGTGAGATTGGAAACGACTTTCAGAATCTAACTAGCTCTAGGAGGTCTTTAATGAAAATTGCTAATTATTAAACAGCAGATTTTAGCGTGCAGTTTGTCCACAGCGTAACATTAATTACAAAGTGTGTTATTCTATTCAAAGTCTGTCTTTTTTTTTTAAGTTGTGTACAGATTCAGAAGTTCTGAGTGTTCTGTGAAATACGTGTGAGTGCTTCATGAAATCCTGTTTAATGTTTGTAAAAAAATTTGTCATTCCTGACACAAAGATTTTACATTTCTGGCTTCAGTAAGTAAAAAGACTCAAAGATGTGTAGTTTTCAAGTATTACTGCCTTTCAAATTACATATTTTTTGGTGTTACCTTTTTAAGGATTTCAGGGTTGGCATATAATGGGGCTAATTAAATTTTTCACCGAGGAAGCAGCCAGCTAGGCCACTGCCCCAGGCACATAACCTGAGCTTACCACTTTCCTTCGCTCATTTATTCTGTGTGTGAGATGAGATTCCTCAAACTGCAAACTGAGTAGAGTACTCAGGCCAGTCAGCTGCTGATGGATTTCAGTAACTACAGAGGCAGTGTTTGAGCCTCACCCTGACAGCACACATCACAGCCAGGTGACAGTGGAAGCACATCTTCCTGTGTGAGTTGGCTGTGGGTGACAATCTGCCAAACTAAAATAATGGAAGAGGCATTAGTTATATAAAAATGAACCAACTGGGCTTAGCTCTAAAGTATTTTGCAAGATTCTAGGACTATCACCTCATTTTGCCCTGAGATGGTTTTAGTGAACAACCCAGAAAACATAACAACAATTACAAAATAGAATCATGTGGGAAAAGGTGTCTTTTAGTAATTTCATTGGTGTATCTTTATAATTAAGCAATTTGTCAGCCTTCCCAAGAAACAAAGGAAATATTTAACAACAACTATGTGGCAGTCTACTAGGCTCTTTACACATGTTATTTAACTTCAGTAAGTACTCATTTCCTATTTTATATCTGAGGAAACTAGGAGAAAACAGTTAAATGATTTGTTTATGTTACTAAATGGCAGGCAGATCTGGAATTTAAACCAACTTTGACTGAAAAGATCTGTTTTAATACACTGCCTGATAGGTGCAAGAATTACGTTTTTAAAAAAGAGACTCTTGTAGGTGGAATTATTTGGGAAATATTCATGAAAATGAGTGGTATACGTGCATGTGTATATGCATATGTGTGTATGATATTTATCGTAGACTGTGAATTCCCTGAGAAGATTTTTCAGTTGTTGTCTTATTAAATTACTTATATATGATATAGCTTTTACTGTAGACAGTCATTTCTTACAAAAGGGGTGAACATTAACCCTGGAAGTATGGAGATCCATTACAAAGAAAGCAGTGACCATCTGGTTCTTATGGTATGATATAGAAGGTACAGAATTGATTTCACTGAAAACCAAGAAAAAAAATCTAAGCTATCATCTTAGAAAATAGAATATGGAACTACTTATGCATCAGATGACTAGATAAATGATTAAAAATAGATTGATGTGATAATTTACGTAGGTGTATAAAATGAGGAATAACTCATTCGTTTCTGGGATAAAAACAAAGTGGCACATTTCATTTTCTGTAACATTAAATCTCTTTAAATTCCTGACTACATTCTCTGAATAATAGTTCGTTTTTTGGTTTTTTTCTACAGTTGGACAGTGTCACCTCCCTGATCCAAGCAGCCAAAAATTTAATGAATGCTGTAGTGCAAACAGTGAAAATGTCTTACATTGCCTCAACCAAGATCATCCGAATTCAGAGTCCTGCTGGGCCCCGGCACCCAGTTGTTATGTGGAGAATGAAGGCTCCTGCAAAAAAACCCTTGATTAAAAGAGAGAAGCCAGAGGAAACTTATGCAGCTGTCAGACGAGGCTCAGCAAAGAAAAAAATCCACCCAGTGCAAGTGATGAGTGAATTTAGAGGAAGGCATATCTACTGAAACCACTATTCTACTCTAGTGTTTATATTACAAAGTCCTGGCTAAACACACTGCTTTATTTTTACACTTGATTAGTTCTGTAAGTTCACTAACTTAGAATTTAACCCACAAATAATGTAAAACATTGAAAGCCTAACCAACATGAGCAGCGTATATTGGGGATCATGCCATTGTCATTTCTGTATGGCCAGCACCTAATAAGTAATCAACAGATGCTTGTTGAATGAATGAAATCTTCAGGGTCATTCAGCCTCTCCCATCACGGAGAATATCTTATATTCATCACTAAATGAACACAGGAGATTCAAATGAGTCCTGTTCATCTGTAACAGCTTAAGTATACTCACCCTTTTCATTTTAAATTAAAATAGTGATATGAGCTCTTGACTTGGTTTTCAACAGAAACAAAAGATTTCATAAAATACTCTTCCATTTAATCTCCATACTTCCTTTATCTGATGTAAACTGACAGACATGTGTGATTCCTTCTACAGGAAAAAAAAAAAATTCTATTTCTCGATATTTGTAACAACTCATGTCAACTGATTGGGCTAATATCCATCAGAAACTAACCAAGCTTGAGCAATCAAGTTACTTTCTGGATTTTTCAAGGTCCGCCTTAATTATTTATGAAACAATTTATTAACATTATAAAGTTTACAATGAGTTTTCATGCCACAAATGTGCATTTCAGGACTCCACTGTGTTCAGCAGTTCTGCACGTTGAGTTCTGGATTTAAAAAGGCCCACCAGAATACTACATATATGGAGGAAGAGTTATCATCCGTTGGGGGAAATGGGCATTTAACTGTATCCCCAAGCGAGTTATGACTGATAAGAGAAATGCAAGGAGTTCTGCATGACTCCCTTTGTATCACCTTGCAAGTGTAATTAAAAGGAAAAGGCCAGTTTGAAAAACATTTTGTCACTGAGTAAAATATAACTCAAAAAATGTGTGTGAATTGTACCACTGAACTCTGAAGTAGAGTTAGTGGCAATGAAGCTGGAGTGATTTTAATAACATTTTTAAAAATAAAAGTCACTGAGGTCATTTTATAACTGCAGTCATTGTGCTGATGCCAAACTGAGTTCATAATGGACTTTATAATAGTTTCAGAGTCTAGTGCATTGCTTCTCTCTTTCTACTTCTTTCTCTCTGTCTGTCTCTGGAGGAGTTAAGTTTCAGTTTTACCTTTTCTCATGCATAGAGTTCCCATTCACAGGATTTTAAACATGAATTTCCTATTCTACTTTATCAAAATTATACCCAAATTGTAACTTCACTTTGTAAAACATTTCCATCAATGAATTGTTTCAACAACCATGTCATCTTAGTTTGACTAGGTAAAGTTTAAACATGCAACATCAGTTATGTTAGGAGGGCCAGTTTGGGTAAAAGAACGTGTGAAACATAAGAAGGCATAAAGGTTGAGAGCATGGTGTGTGTGGTATCTTGAACAAAATGGTATGGGAAAGGGATTTAATCAGTCAATATGTTAATAAATTATGGGGAAAATGTAAACTTTTCATTGTAATATGTTATATTGTTCTTCCAAAATGCTAGGTCACCTGGGCTAAGTATTGATACGTACACTTTCTAAGAGTGAAAGCAATAAGCTCCTGCCTCTCTTGCAGTATGCACTGGCCCACGATCAATATTATTCTGGACAGAGTCCACTCCCTAAAAGAAAAGGCAGTGCAGAAAGGAGTTAGAGAATTCAGATAATTATATTGTCCAGAACTAGCTAGCTAACTGAGGCAAAACAGGGAATTTCTTTTGTTGGCATGCTACCATCATTTTCTGTTCTAAGAGTAGACATTACAAGAGTTACATCTATGACACTTCCTTTTGTCAGGTAGAAGTGTGAATTTACAATTTAGTTGAGAAAATGATTTTTTACAAAATTACCAAACTACTAGTATATCTTAGTTCCTAAAGCCACATGCTCAAGAATCATAAGAGTCTCATTTACAAAATCTAATGTCTGTTTAATTCTACATCAGCTTTCCACAGGTTAGAGTTTAGAATGCAGCGCTGGATGCCAAAAGAACATAACTAATTTGAAATTATACACTTATCAAATAACCTCTGTATCTGTCTTAAGAAAAGGACTTTAAAAATGAGATGTGAACAAGTCCTCCTCTTCAAAGTAGAGGGATTTCCAGCTTAGCTCAAAGCAAACAACTATAATTAAGCAAAACTTAATTTTTAAAAAAAACATTAACTTGGAGAATGTCCCAGCCATTATCTTTTTTTCTTTTTTCTTTTTTTTTCTATTCCAGAAAACATTCTTATCTTTTTCGGTGTCAAATGAACACTTCCATGCTAGGCACTGTGGTTCCCATGGATACATATTTCTGTACAGTGGCAGAATGAGTAGAGTGAGATCGAGACTTTTTCTGGTGATATTTACCTTTCTCTAGTGAAGTCCTTGCAGAGCTGCCATCCTGTTTCACATTCATTGTAAGTAATTCTCTAGGTTAGCAAAGCAAGGGCCAGAATATCAAGTTGAGTAAAATCTGTACTTTCTTTTGTCTGCCTGTCTTTTGTTAAGACAGTCTGCTTATTGCATATTTAGGTGTCAAACAGCCATTTTTCTTTTTGGAAAGTCAGAAATACTTCTGTTTGACTGCATCAGAAAATTTAGGGGCATCCAGTTAAAGGACTGTAACTTCCATATTATTTTAATAATTCTTTTTAAGTCAACTAGAAAAAGGTCTGCAACCTTAAAAATTTATATTATCATTTTCATTTATATGTCACATACCAGAAAACAACACTTAATCGGACAAAAACCCTATAGCATTTTTGTCATAACTCTCTTTCCC